AGCCCAGGATGACCCCAGGGCTTCTTGCCCAGACAATTTAATATTAAATTAGGAGAAGCAGGGAAAGGTAGGGTGGGGGTGAATGGACAGAAAGCCATGAGTTTAACCTGAAACACGTCAAGTTTGAGTTGCTTTTGGCAAACAGAGATTTAGACCTGAAATGTAGACAAAGCAGCAGGGCTGGCCACAGGGGATTAGGAATCTTGACATGGGCAGGCAGGTGTCTTCCATTCTGTAAGGCTGATCCTATGAAGATCTAGAAAAGTCTAACACTTTAAAATCACTGAGTCACTTTCCGTACTTTCTAATTAAGTCGGGGACACGGCTAATAATGGAAGTCAGTGGGGCTGCTCCTAGTGCTGTTGCCTACTCAGTTACCATTCCCTCTTTTCCTCGTGGCAGATCGGCTACGGTGGGGGTGGGGGTGGGGCTGCAATTCGCCCAGCTAAAAATATTTGATTTCTCAGCCTCTTCTATTTAGAGGAGCCACGTGTCACCCTTCTGGCCGATGGGATGCAATTCCAGTCCCAGGGAGGGCATCGCCTTCTGAATGAAAAGGCTAGCCCTTCCCTGCAGGAGGATCTCCACGCGCTAGCTACTTGCGCTTTGCTTTCCTCCTTGCCTAGACTGCAGATACAAGGCCACAGACGCAGCAGCCATCTTGTGCCCGTGAGACACTCAGATTCAGGATGAGGTCCCACAGGCTAAGGATGGGGGAACTGGACGGTGCAGCAAGACCGGCCTCCGATGCACCACTTCCGCTCCTGCACCAGTTCCAGAATGCCCTAGAGAGTCCAGTTCCACGGGGCAAAAAACCCTTTTCTGTTTAAGTCAGATGTGGGTATGTGTGCTGTTTATTTGCTTTGGCAGCTGAAGGCAATCTTATTGGATACAAGTCATAGCTGGACATACAAAAAAACTACAACCACACACACACACACACAGAGGGCACGGAGAGGCTGAAGACAGGACCATCATTATCATTATTTCAATGACAAAAAGTGTCTAAAAATAAACATCACTTATTCTTACTAGCCCTGAATTTTTCTCTTTCCAATTAGGGTTATAAACATTTGCAGCTCAAGGGAAATTATGAACTTGAAGTACTAAGAAAATTCATGAATACACAGTCGTCTATTACTAAGTAAAATGTACAATGACACCCTTCGGACTTCTCCTGGATGAAGTCGACAGATAGGGCTCATTTGAATGGCTTCAGTCATTAAGTGTTCCTTAAGACGGGAGCGTTCACCTGGCTCACATAAGCCTGATTATCATTGGGAAGACGACTGGTCCCCTTCTCCCAGCACTCGGGGCACAAGTTAAGGATGTGGCCGGTCCTGAAGCTGGCGCTCTGGCTCCTTACAGATGTACAGGGCTGCATTCTGAGATTCTGGCTCCAGAGCTGGAGTTACTACAGTGCTAGGAAATGTTCAGTGGCATCATCTCCCACAAAACCACCACTGCCTTCGCAGCAGGAGTGATGTGAAAGACGGAGGTATCCATGGCCACCAGGACGGCTCCAGGCCTGAAGGAGAAAGCTATCCCCGGCTGCAGGAGCAGGGGGAGCTGTGTAACTGATCTGCGTTTATCTCCTGGTTGCTGTGGGTTGGGTAACTACTTGTGTTTTCCTTTTCGTTTTGGCTGCTGGGAACCTCTGACAAATATGTCATCTCAGGGCCAGCTCTGTGGCACAGCGGGTTAAAGCTTTGGCCTGCATCCCATATAGGCACCAGTTCATGTCCCGGCTGTTCCACTTCCGATCCAGCTCCCTGCTAATGCGCCTGGGAAAGCAACAGAAGATGGCCCAGGTCCTTGGGCCTCTGCACCCATGTGGGAGACGAGGAGGAGGCTCCTGGCGCCTGGCTTTGGATCGGCCCAGCTCTGGCTGATGCAGCCATTTGGGGAGTGAACCAGCAGATGGAAGATCTCAAGCTCAATCTCTCTCTCTCTCTCCCCTGCCCCCGTCTCTACCTCTCTGCAACTCTTTCAAATCAATCAATCTTAAAAAAATTTTTTCATCTCACCTCTGGAAACTATCCACACCTTAGGGTATCTTCCAGTTTTCTAAGTTACTTCTGATTTTATCTTGTTCTCTATTTCGTTTCCTGATCTATTAACTTTATGTCATTAACTGCCAATTTTTGAAAGCTCCTCCGATACTTTATAGAACAGAGAACACTTAAGGCAAATTTTTAAAAGCACCAAATCAATAATTGAACACTGCTATGAGGAAGACACTGTCCTAACCACTGAACCTGTCTTACTCTATGAGATAAATACCATTATTTTCCCCATTTTTACAGATGAGAAAACTTGGCCGAGAGAAGTTTATCTGTGATCACATGGCAAATAAGTGATGAATATGCGACTCAAACTCAGGTGTTCTGAATTTTATCAATTACACAAAAGAAAAACTCATTTCTTATAGAGCAGGGTCCTTCTGATTTTATAGGTCAATTTTAACTCTAAAGGACACCTTTTCCATATCAAGCCACACAGGCAGGCCAGGTGACCTGTATCAACAGAGGAATGAGACGGTGGAAGTCAGAACAACAGGTAATTTAAAAATCATCGGCTTTTCATCTCGGGACATTGTTAAAGATATTCATTCACTGATTCAACAGCCCTAAGAGAGTACACCTCGTGTGCCAGGCATGTGCAGGTGCTGGCCACAGAGATGACTGGACACAGTACCTGCCCTCCAGGAGCTCAGCTCAGGTGCAACAAGGGAGAGTCAGGTGGGCGGGGCAGCATGGGGCTATGAGGGGACTGAGCACACGATGGACATGGTCGCGCTGAGAGCAGCATCGCCCTTGGCCTCTGCCCCACTCTGGAACACAAGGAAGCAGCAGCAGCTTCCTCTGGCGCTGCTGTGATGAGTTCACACACAGAAAGCTCTTAGCCTGGCTCTGGCACGGGCTAGCCGTCAGCTCTTAAGGAACAGGCAGCCTGGGAGCCTTGCTCTGACACACACGTGTGCATACACAAACGTACGTCCTTGGAAACTAAAGCCAAGGCTGGCTCCCACCTACGTCCTTGGAAACTAAAGCCAAGGCTGGCTCCCACCTCCTCGCAGCCAGTCCCAGGAGCAGACTCTCCCTGCCAGTCCCTAGGCAGCCCTGGCACTCCCTCTCTTCTGGATGTCGCTCTTCTAAGAGTCAGCATCTTGCTGGAATCCATCACCCACACAGGATGAATGTTCCTTCAAGGCACACTGGAACAGCTTCCTCCACAATGCCTGGCCCACATAATGCCCGCCCAGCATCTTCTCTGCCTCCCTTTCCGTCCCTGGCACTGGGACACCGCATCCCCTACACAACCCCCTGCTGCACCAGGGCTCCCCGCTGGAGCCCCACCTAGATGTGCAAAGTGGGTGGGTGGGGGGCTCAGGTGCGTCCTTGGCTGAGGCCAGCAAGAAAACGCACGGCACCTGCTCTGCGTCCACGGGGGATGCCCAAGAAGTAATGAATCCTTTGCTCACCAACCTTCCCTCTTTTGTAGAGTTCCCTCTTGTTTTATCATGCCATCAGCAAAGTCAGTTAAACATGACGATCCCCCTCTAAATACGCCAGCAGCCAGACGGTGGGAGCAGTACTGCGACAATGAGGCAAGTTTCGCCTCAAGACAGCTGCTGAGGCGTAATCACACTTGATGGCACCCAGCTAACGGGCTGCACCCAGCAGGACCCCAGAGCGGCCCCAGGTTCATGACATCAAAACCTCTGAATTCCAGGACTAGGATCCTCAACTCTGAGTGTGAAACCTGCCTGGGAAGGAAACACACTTAAGCTCTGAACTGGAGGTCAATGAAGACTACACATGAGGATAAATTTCCCCCTGGATGTCATGCTATTGCACCAAAGTCAATGCATGTTTATAATATGTTTGCTAGTAAACAAATCGCCTGCCTCTGCTCAGTTATCCTTGTAGGTTTTTCTTTAAAAAACACTTTAGCACTATTAGACATCCATTTGTACATTTCTAGGGTGTAAGAAAAGTTGACTGCAAATTCTACTTCTTCTCTCCTATTAATCAAACTTGGGCTTCTCGGGCCTCATGCAGGATGCACTGCTAATTGTGTGTGTGTGTGTGTGTGTGTGTGTGTTAGAGAGCCTGCAGAACCAGTCTGTACCACAAGGCTTCTGAACAATAGATCTACACGCACAGTTCCCAGGCAGGGCCAGCTGGTTTTCTGCCGTCCCTAAAACTGTATGTTCTTAGACACACACGCACACCCGCCCTCCATCCCTTCTGCTGCTGGCTAACTTCAGGCTGTGACACAGCGTCCCACTCCCAATTACGTGACAACAGATCTCCTGGAAGGAGAGAAAAGGGGGCATGGAAGGAAGCCAGTCTACCAGTCTGTGTCCCCCGGGCTGCTCTGTCCCGCTCCAGGTGGCCCCAAATCTCTCGTGCATGGTTGCAGGCAGAGAACCTGAAGTCCGTTAGCTAAACTCTTATCCTGGGCTTCCCGAGTGAGTCCTCCACCCTCACAGCCTCTCTCTTGATTCTCTTGTCAGCCAAAAAGGCACACAGCAGCTCCCCTGAAAGTACTGTAGCGGTGCACAAAGGGCATTTGGTCAAGCACCCTGCAGTGAATGCCTCACTTAACAGCCTCCTCTTCTTTTCTTGGCTTTGTGGTTTTTAAAGGATCCCCTGAAACACATTCACTCTCCGTGTGCTACCGCAGCGAGTGGCTTTTACCACACTACATTTTCATTTACTTTTTTATCCAGGTAAAACTTTCCTAATCAGATGCGCAAGTGTCAAGGTTACAGCTTCCTGCGTTTTCCTGTGTGGACACCTGTGTGACCACCACTGAGGTCAAGGCGGGGGCCATTTCCAACGCGGACCTCCTTCATGTCCTGTCCAGGCCAGCACAAGGCCCAAAGGTCACCCCTCTGCTAACCTCCATGGCCACGAATTGGCCTTGCAGAAAGTTTAACAGAAGGCTGGAGTCCCGGGGGTAACAGCGCTGACCACACACACACACACACACACACACGCGCGCGCTCCCCAGCCTCCCCTCGCGAGGCTGCAGGATCTGGAAGGGAGGAGACGCTGGAGCACAGACTTCGCGTAGACGAGGCCCTCGTTCAGCGAGGGGCAGCCCAGCGTCCTGCGGATGGAGGTAGGCTCCCCGCCCCAGCGCGCCTGCAGCAGCTCTCTCGGAGTTCCCCCATGCACGTCCCCGGGGTCCCCCACGCCGCCCCTGCCGCCCTCCCGGGTAGCCGTTCCCGCGAGCAGCGCCTGCTGAGTGCCTGCTTGCAGACAGGGGTTGGTGGCGCCCAGGAGGCTCTGCCACCTGCCGGCGACCCCTCCAGAGGGCTCCAAAGCCCGTCTGTGGCCGGATGTAAACTGCCACTCAGTCCGACTCCAGACCTCGGAGCTGGCAGCGGGACGGGGCCCGAGCCCCGCGCTCTGGCTGCAGCGCCCGCAGCACGCGACGTGCGACCTTGGCCAAGTCACTTCTCGCCTCCGGAGCTGGCTTCCTCCCCGGCGGCCGCCTCCGGATCCCCACAGCCACCCCCAGCGCCGCAATTTCCTAGCTCTTCCTTACTCCGCCCCAGTCCTCCCATCCACAGCCCCCTCCCCAGCGAGACCCCAGCCTTTTGTTCCGGGGGTGAAGCCGGGAAGGGAAAAAGAGCCACTGGAAGCACAGGCCCCAGCGGCCCTGGCGTCCCGGGCTACTCGCCGGAGTCGGGGCCCGGGAGTCCCCGGGGCCGCCCCCGCGGTGACCTCGTTCCCCGCCGCGGTCGCGGCCCGGCGCAAGCAGCGGTGGCCGGCGCTAGGGCAGCGCCCGGACCCCGGCCAGGACCCGGGGCTGCGGCCGGGTTGGGGTCCCCGGGGCACAGGCACGCGCGCTGCACCCTTGCCTGAGCAGGGGGCCCGCTCCGCACCGGGACCGGCCCGAGCGGCTGCCGCGACACCGCCCGTTTCCCCCTCGTTCACGACCCGGACGCGCGCGCGCACGGAGCCGCTACCTGCCGCTGGTCGTGCCGGGCGCCGTCCCCGCCGCCGCCGCCTCTGGGCTCCGTCCCGCAGCGCCCGTGCTCCCGGCGCCAGCCGCGGCCGCGCTGTGCTCGGTGCGCCCCGCTCGCTCCGCGGCCGCCGGCTCTGGCGCTGCCGGGACGCGGAGGCGGGGCCGCCGCCCCCACCTGCTCCCCGGCTCCTGCCCGGGAGCCGCTGCCGCCGCCCCACGCGCGGGGACGCGGCCTGGGCGGGCGGGGTCGCTCGGGAAGCCGGGAGGCGGGTCCCAGGCGCCAGGCGCGCCTCCCCGGGGCAGAGTCCTAAGTCCGAGCTGCGGGGCGAGTGGGTCCCCCAGAGAGCGGCTGTGGGCCGGCAGCCACGTCCCAGCCCCGCCGCTCCTATTTATTCGAAAAACGTTTCAAGCTCGAGGCTCCGTTCACCATGGGACAAAAGAGGGAACAAGACAGCCTCTCCCCCCGCGGAAAGTTCGCGATCGGGGAGGGAAACCAGAGGAGGGGCAATTACACAGCCCAGGACCAGGCGGGGGTGGTCGGAGGCGCACCTGACCCGGGCCGAGAAGCGGTGCAGGTGGCCCGGGAAGGCCGAGGGGCGGGAGAGCACACTGGGTAAAGACCGATACAAGCTGGGGGAGGCAGCAGAGGTTGGCGTGGCCGGCAGATCCCCCTCACCCTCAGGTTCAGCCCTTGGAGGGTGCGGAAGGCGCGGGTCTGTGGCTGGACGTACTGTGTCGCTGAAGGTGCGCTGGCTGTCATGTCCTCAGGAGCGTTCTTGCCCACTCCGTGTGGTGGTGGGGGCGTCCCACACGAGAAGTGCGGTCTTTCTCCAGGTTCTGAGTGGGCAGCAGGTGCTGTCAATGTGCCCCAGGCAGCCCTTAGCTGCTTTCTTAATTACTGATGTGTGTAGCCTGAAAAGGTGTAGGCTTGTGCTTATAGCAAGAAAGAATACTCGTGTCTCTCACTGCTGTGTTGTTAGGAACTATGTTCTTCTCCCTGTCTTTTTAAGATTTATGTATTTGAAAGGCAGAGAGGTGGGGGCAGAGAGAGAGAATCTTCCATCTGCTGGGTCACTCCCCAAATGGCCCCACCCAGGCGGGAGCCAGGACCCTGAAGGTTTTGCTGGGTCTCCCAACCAGTGTCGCAGGGAATTGGGTTGGAAGCAGCCAGAACTAGAACCTGGCCTCATAAGGGACGCACCACAACACCGGCCCGTGATTTTTTCTTGATTTAGGTGAAGAAAGGTGTGTGCCTGTGTAACCAGTAGAAGCCAATGAGGTTCTTGCTTCCTACCTCCGCTTTAGCCTGTGGTCCTCCTGCCTTTTATGACTTTGGAACCATGATAAATGACCATGGACAGGAAACCTCATGACCTTTACTCCCATCTCACACTTGTAAGCTATTTTGCAAGAGTGATCAATACTGAAAAGGACCTGAGGCGTTACCCAGAAAGGGCAAAGCCTTCTCTGGACTCCCAGTGCTCATTCCTGTTAAATACACAGCTACTAATGTTCCATTCAAAAAGGAAGAAAAGACTGACATGCAGAAAAGACACTTCCATGGACCTAGAGAGGTCCTCTCTGGCCTCCTACTGAGTAGCCCAAGCATGAGCTAGTTGGATGGAGTGGCTGTTACTTGAGAGATGGCTAGGTGCTGGCTTGTATCAGATAAATTTTTTTTTTTTTTTTTTTTACAGGCAGAGTGGACAATGAGAGAGAGAGAGAGAGAAAGGTCTTCCCTCTCCGTTGGTTCACCCTCCAATGGCCGCCACGGCTGGCGCGGCGCACCGCGCCTATCCGAAGGCAGGAGCCAGGAGCTTATCCTGGTCTCCCATGGGGTGCAGGGCCCAAGCACTTGGGCCATCCTCCACTGCACTCCCTGGCCACAGCAGAGAGCTGGCCTGGAAGGGAGGCAACCGGCACAGAATCCGGCGCCCTGACCGGGACTAGAACCCGGTGTGCCAGCGCCGCAAGGCGGAGGATTAGCCTAGTGAGCCGTGGCGCCGGCCCAGATAATTTGTTTTTAAATGTCTGGTTTGAGGGAGTGGGGTAGTGGTGAATGAAGAATTGATTAGCAAGTAGGGACGGACATCTGGGGCTGAGAGCTAGGCCATGTCTCAGATCCACGTGCAGCATCTCTGCTATTAGCATCTTGTTTCTATGGACATTAGAGAAGGGTTCGTTCCCATCCGGCTCCACCAGCATGTGTATAACTTCGAGCTATTCTATGGGGTGATGTCTGTCCTGTGGCAGACCTTGGAGTTGTCTTCCCAATAGCCAAGCCATTCTCCCCTTCTTCCCTGTTAACTGAACCCAGGATCAGGATTGGTCCAAGAACCACCATGACAATCCCATCCCTGACTTTCCAGGCTCCCCTATCCCCAACAAGTTGAATGAGGCAGGTGGCTGGAGGGCATGTGAAAAAACCTTCTGTTGGCTTTGCCTTTCCATCTCCCCTCTCTTTATGACTTAAATGTAAATGAAATGCCTAGCACAGCTGCAGGCAGATTGCAATCAAGGGGCAATGTCTTTGAGGCCAAAAAACCAATTTAATCAGGACAACAGAATGGAAAATAAAAGTTGATGTGGCATTGCTAGGTGCGTGAACCAAAGCCAGCAACTGTCCACCTCTGGATGATTTTTTAAAATATTTATTTCATTTATTTGATGGAATGATAGAGATCTTCCATCTGCTGGTTCACTCCCCCAGACAGCCACAACAGCTGAGCCTGGTCCCAGCTTAAGTCAGGAGCCAGAAGTTCCATCCAGATCTCCCATGTGGCTGGTAGGGGCACAGGCACTTGAGCCATTTTCTACTGTTTTCTCAGGCGCATTAGCAGGGAGCTGGATTAGAAGTGGAGTGGCCAAGTCTTATCCCCATATGGGATGCCAGCATTGCAGGCAGCAGCTTAACCTACTGTACCACAATGCTGGCCTCTTTGGGTGATTTCTTTTGTGAGAAAAATACCTGCTGTTTGTTTAAGCTGCTGAGATTGCATTTGCTAACCTTACAGTCAACTGCGTGCCTAACTGATACAGAAACTGGTGAAGGCAAAATCTTTCCCTGCTACTCACCAAGTGCTGGTGAGAGCTTGCACACCTTTCACACCGTCTACTTGTAAACATATATTCACATCTGCTCTGCAGCTTCTTGAGCTCTCCAGGAGAAAGACACTATAGGAATCTTAAATGTGTTGTCCACACATTCACTTCAGTTCCTCAGATATTTCTAGGTGGGGACCTCACACTTGTGCTGCCGAGAGGGTGCAAAGATGAATTCGCAGCCCTGTCCCCAGGGAAGTCACAGCTTAGTAGAGGACAAGAGCCTGTAAATAGAGTCTCGCACTTCCCTGGAATGGAGGTGTTTGTCCTGGAGAGAGCGCCAGCGCAGGAGAAGAAACTATGATCTCTCTGTGTGCTATGTGGAAGGAAGGTGACACCTGACCTGGGCTTCCAGGGGTGAAGCAGCAGCTCAGCTTTCAGAAGCTGGGGAAGGGAGCACACTGCAGAGAGAGCTTGGTGGTCCAGGAGCCTCCAATGCTATCTGTCTGGGATGGAACCCCCAAACCTGACCCCTTCAAAGTGCTGGCCATCTCTCCCGCTCCCTGGACTTGACACGGCAGACTTCACCAGGTAAATCTTCATCCGCCTGCACCACCACCACCCAAGATCACAACCTGTCACCTCTCTCCGGGGCTTCTACAGCCACCTCTTGCCTGATCCCTCTGTGACGTGCTGCATCTGTTCCAAACCATCTCCACAATTTGGCCAGAGAGGTTCCCTGGACACTAAATGCTCATCTGAGGGCCCCTGTAGCATGGTGACTTCCCATGGATGATAACCGAGATTCTGAGCTTGTTGGGAGCCCCCAGGGTCTAGCTTTGACCTTCTCTCTGACACATCTCCGCCAGTCCTCGCTGTCCATCTCTGTCCTGCAGCCACGTCGACTTGTTTTCAGGTAACATCCCTTCTTTCCTCAGGTCCTTTGAACATGATTTCCAGTTTTGCAGAGAACACTTCAAGAAAGAACTCAATTTTTCAGATCTCAGCTAAGCTCAGTCATCACTTCCTGGCTCTCCTGTGTCCAGCTCCTATAACCCAGCATGCCCCTGTGTGGTAGCCCATCTGCCCTCCAGATATGGTCTTCCATGGTATCTCTGAGCACAGAGCAGGCACACAATACAGATTTGGTGAGTTATTGAACAAATGAACAAGTCAGGCTTGGAAACTTGACCAGCATATTCGAGAGGCTATGGCATCTTTCTTTTAACTTTTAACATCACGTTATTGAGGGGTAATTAGCGTGTAACTCATCTTAAATGTAGTTTCATGAGTACTTCCCAATGCACACTCTGATGGAACCACCACTTGGGTCCAGATCTCAGTTCTGTTTCCATTGCTTAAGAAATTTCCCTTGTTCCGTTGGCCACCAGTCACTGCCCCAGCTCCAGGCAACCACAGAGCTGTTACTGATTATTACTTGTGTGTTTTCTAGAGCTTTGGATGCTAGAATCATACATGATGATTTGAAATTCATTCATGTGCTGTGGGTAGTTTGTTTCCTTTTGCTACTGATTGGCATTCATTGTATGAATATGCCAGTACTTGTTTTTCCATTCACTTGTTGGTGGGCATTTGGATAGTTTCCAGTTTTTGGAATTTACCAATAAAGCTGCTTTGAATATTTGTATACTAGTCTTTTTGTAGACATTTTTATTTCTCTTGGGTAAATGCTTACATGTCTTAAGAATCTTGAGCATTTAAAATGAAGACAGAAACCTTGGAACCACATGAGATACTATGTCACGGTCACCAGGATGGTTATGCTGGAAAAATGGTTGGTGAGGATGCTGACACATTGGAAGCCTCATTCGTTGTTGGTGAGAGTGGAAAGTGATGCAGCCACTATGAAAAACTGTTTGGCATTTCCTCAAAAAATTAAACATAGGATTACCATATGACCCAGAAACCCCACACCTAGACATACACTCAGAAGAACTGAGAGGTTCAAGCAAAAACCTGTGTAGCACACAGATGCTCACTGTAGCACTATTCAGAATAACCAAAAAGTGGAAGCAACTCAGATCTCCATCCACAGAAGAGTGGATACAGAAAATGTAACGTGTCAATGCAATGAAGCCGTACTCAGCAACAGAGAGGAGTGAAGAACTGATACATGCTGAAGCAGGGAAGAACCTTGAAAACTTTATGCT